AGTTGTGAGAGTTTTATAAGTTTTGGAGTTGTCTTAACAGTTGAGGCTGTAGAAAATAGAGTCAAAGACTGAGAGACATTACTCTAAGTGAAGCGCCGGAGGAGAAAAGGTATATCTCCTGCTAGCTGCAAAAGTTTGTCTTCGGGAGGAGCTGTCGGAGTCCACCTGCTGCTGCGTCGTTTTCCCGAAGGAAGAAAGGATATGTCTGTCGTGTCGGCGAGGGTCCGCTAGGGGAGGGACTGAAAAGTTTGTTCTGCCTGGTCGGTGGGTCCGGAGCCTGCAACCTGCTAGCATTCAGCTCGGCTACTGTTTCTCCTCATCATCTTCCTCCAGCCATCACTCTGACACTGTGACTTGAACTCTGCTATAAAACTGTGAGTATTCGCCGTTTAGTTTATCCACACAAGGGGAATAAAAGTAATGAACACAGGACCCTACCATAGGAAAGGTACAGAAAGGGTTCCACATGCATAGTAGATCAGCTGCAGTACCTGTTCGTTCCACCAGGTGGAACCTCTTACTGTTTTATACGAAAGTGACCTGTGGAGGCGATCACTCAGACTACAGGCAGCTTTGCGTTTGCAAAGCATCATGGGAATATTATTAATAAAGGCCAGATTGTTAGATGAGTAGTTTTGGACTTGTGATGTCAGTTTTGTTGTGTTTGAATTTTGATTGTTGTGGATGGCGAGGTGGTTTTCAGTGACTGTGCAGCAGAGAGCATTGTGGGGTTTAGCCAGCAGTGTGCCACCATGACAAAGATTATGTTCTCTTCCTGAATGACTCAGCCTGGTAACCCTCCCTCCTACTGTTGCTGTCAAACACAGCAGGTCCAACCTGTCAATATATTTCCTGGTTTCCCTCCCCTTTAGATCTGCACTGTGAGGATGGGTGGAACCAACATGGGGAAAAGTGGAAGAGCTGACAGGCCACATTTGCTGCAGGATCACATGATGTAGAGATCAGAGATCAGACTAGTTTCAGGTTGGAGGAATCGAAACTCACTCAGTCGGTGCTGCTCAGAGGAGAAAATGGCTCAGAAGGGAGTTCCGCTAGACCAAGAAACGTTCTCTTGTTCAGTCTGTCTGGATCTACTGAAGGTTCCGGTGACTATTCCTTGTGGACACAGCTACTGCATGGAGTGTATTAAAACCCATTTGAATGAAGAGGACCAGACGGGAATCTACAGCTGCCCTCAGTGTAGGCAAACCTTCACACCGAGGCCTGTCCTCATGAAAAACACCATGTTGGCAGCTTTAGTGGAGGAGCTGAAGAAGACCGGACTCCAAGCTGCTCCTGATGATCCCTGCTATGCTGGACCTGAAGATGTGGCCTGTGATTTCTGTACTGGGAGGAGGATGAAGGCTGTCAAATCCTGTTTGATATGTTTAGTCTCTTACTGTGAGAAACACCTTCAGCCTCACTATGATGTCGCTCCATTAAAGAAACACAAGCTGGTGCAGCCCTCCAAGAGCCTCCAGGAGAACATCTGCTCTCGTCATGATAAGATGATGGAGATGTTCTGTCTCACTGATCAGCAGTCTATCTGTTATCTCTGCTCTGTGGATGAACATAAAGGCCA